ATGTAGTAAACAGACTGAGCCGAGACAGCGAGAAGGCGCACAAACTGCACATAGATGTGCGCTAACTTAGCGCAATATTCTCCCCTTTTCTTTTGTACGCCGTTCTGCGTTTTTCTGCAAAGCTGAGTCATGGACTCGCACTGTGAGTTCTTTGGAAACACCGCACACTGCAATATGAATATCTTCATGACGTTAAGTAGCAGTTCTGTCCGTTTTACAAATGTTTGTGGAACAACAGAACCAGTATGAGTTGGTTCCTCTTAATTTTCCGTGTGCTACACTGACATATTCACGTGCTCTGGTTCTGTGTAATGTGTAAAATTCATAAGATGATAATAAAATATTTTTTTATTCCTCTGAATAAATGCTCATGATGCTCATGTTTCTTATGAGCCATATAGTACTTATCACTCATTATTAGCCTTCAGTAATAAAATGTGACTGGTTCATCACTTTACTTTAGGGTGCACAAACATTATGAATTCATCATGAAGAATCTGTAATCATTGCTTTCTTTATAATGAATTGAGAATTGACTCTGCATAGTGTTGCATTTTCCTTACTCTGACACACCACAAACAGCACAATGGGAGCTTGTAAATGAGCAGTTGTGTTCAATCAGGTGTACTAGATGAGGGAAAGCACAAAAATGTGCATAGAATTAAGGATGTTTATGAACCTAGGAGAATGGTGCTACACTTTCCCTATCAATTATTAACTAATTTCCGAGTTCAGTGGAAACTGTAGGATAAACCATTTCCTCATGAGGCACTGTGTATCAACACAGGAGTTAAAATGTGTCATATTATTAACATGAACAATGAAATAAAACCATGGCAACTGCTACAAATGTGAACTAGTTGCAAAAAGCTGGCAGTATGAGCTTTTAATTTTATTAAATAAACAGACACCAGGTAGGTAGAAACAGACAAGATAACAATCAAATCAAAAACAATAAACTCACAGACCTGACAGATAGAGACAAGCAAATACAAGGGCTGCTTACACAGCAAGATGAAGCAAAAGGACAAGATGATGAGAAGATGGAGCTACAGAAAAAACACAGTTGAATTTGATAGACACAATATTCCAGAGCACTGTGCGTCAGGGGGATCTTGTGACAACAAACACTAATTAACACATGAATTTCTGATAAATTCAGATGTTGAAGAAAGCCTTTATTACCTTTATCTTCATTCATTAGGTCATACATTAGTAATTAAAACTTGTGGTTATTAATACATAACTTATTCGTTTGTTCCTGATTAATGACTTATTACTTTCTGATAAGTTGTTCATTAGTAAATGCCTTAATTACTGTCAGATCATGTACCCTAAATGTCTAACACTCTACAGATCTTATTGCTAGTCAACAGATGCACTGTTAGCAGCTTTCTGAGTGTGTTAAACAAATGTCCAGCATTTGAAATCAGGTCCTGTTCCATGTTTTCTTTGGAGAGAGGTGTTATGTTCTCCAGGGCATATTCTGGAAGTCTGATTGTTCGATTGTTTTTATCTCAACTTTACTTGAAGCTTGTACATTAGAGATTTATGATCTGTTCCAAAATTACCAGCAGTACATTGTGTTTGCAAGTCTTGTCAATTTCAGCCTGTGTTTGATCATAAAACCTTTCAATTTGGAAGCAACATCATCACCACATCGGAAGCTTCATGAAATGAGTTTCCATGTCCAAGCAGCTGCACATAACCTAAGATTATAATGCACAACATCAAGCTGGAGCGTAAAGCACACCACCATTGGACTCTGGAGAGCCTGGAGGCCAGGAGAACGCTACCTAATGCATAGTGCCAACAGTAAAGTTTGGTGGAGAAAGGATAATGGTCTGGGGCTGTGATTTGGGGTTTGGACTAGGCCCATTAGTACCAGTAAAGAGTAATGTTAATATTACAGCAGACAAAGACATTTCAGGAAGCAATAATGTGCTTCCAACTTTGTGGCAACAGTTTGGGGAAGGCCCCTTTCTGTTTCAGCATGACTGTGCCCAAATTGAGGTCCATAAAGACATGGTTTGATGAGTTTGATGTGGAGGAACACCAGTGGCTTGCAAAAAGCCCTGACTTCAACCCCATTAAACATTTTTGGAATGAATTGGAACATTGATTGTGAGCCAGGCCTTCTCTTCCAGCATCCAGTGGCCTGCACAGCACCCTGACCTCAACCCCACTGAAAAAAGTTTGGCTTAAATTGGAAGGCTAATTGTAAGCTAGGTCTTCTCACCCATCAGTGCTTAACTTTACAGATGGTTTTTGACTACATGGGCACAAATTTTAGCAGACACACTATTGGGGGGCAAATTCATATTAATCCCCATAGTTTTGGAATGGGATGTCCAACAAGCTGATGTAATATGATGGTCAGGTGCCCACATACTTTTAGCCATACATGGTGAGCTGACAACGTCTGTATAAGCACTTACATGTCAAAAAATATTTGACTATCCTAGGCTCTCCTGAAAATAACAACACATGGCATGTGTGACTGTCTAATTTAAATGCCTTGTAATTGTAATTGACCAAAATACTATTTATTTATTTATTTATTTATTCATCCATTCATTCATATATTAATTAATTGTATATCACAAGTATATTTCTACATTGAAAAACTGGTGGACTCAAAGCTGATATCTGGAAGGTGTGTTGAAAATATGTTCAATTTACACTGATATAAAATCAGCTTTTACTACTTTTGTACTAGTGTGTCTATGCAATGCCTAAAAATGTAAGTTAGATGTTTTATGTTTTCTAAATACTGAATTGAATTTTGTTTGCTTTCAACGTTGAATCATTCTTACCACAGCAGTCACACTGACATGATGGTGGCATGTTTGCACTGGTACATGTGGAAAAAGTCTTTATGGACCTTGTTTTGTGCACAGGGACACAGTCATACTGGAACAGGAAATGGCCTTCCCCAAACTGTTGCCACAAAGTTGAAAGCATATAATTGCCTTTGTATGCTGTAGTATTAACATTACCCTTTACTGGAACCAAGATGCCAAGCCCAAAAAACCTGTAAAACAGCCCCAGACCATTGTCTTCCTTCCACCAAACTTTACCATTGGCACTATGTAATAAGGTAGGTAGTGTTCTTATGGCATCTGCCAACCCAGATTCAGACTGCCAGATAGTTAAGCGTAATTCAACACTACAGTGAGCAAGTTTCCACTGCTCCAGAGTCCAGTGTCAGTGTGCTTTACACCACTCCAGCTGCCAATCAGCATTGTACATTTTGATCTTAGTTTGGAACTCTGTAGTGAGTGATGCAACAGAGGACAGGTGCTACTCGCTTGAGCACTTGCCAGCCCCATGCTCATAGAGATTTCCATTTCACAAACAATACCACTTACAGTTGACAAGAACAGATCTACCAGAACAAAAATTTCACAAACTGACTTGTGGCATCCAATGGTAGTGCCATGTTAAAGGTCACTGAGCAGGGCTCCCGAGTGGCGCAACCGTCTAAGTGTTGGCCCTATCATCAGGAGATCGCGAGTTCGATCCCTGGTGATGCTACAGCCATCCGTAGCCGGGAGTCCGAGAGAGCACAATTGGCCTCGCTCTCTCTGGGTGGGTAGGATGGCCCCCCCCTCTCCCCCCATCACTCAGCGCGATGCTAGTCAGCGCAGGCGTCTGTTAGCTGACGTAACAGATCTGGCGGTTGGCGCTTTCCTCCGAGCGCGTTCGGCTGTCCAGTGACGTTGCGTGAGCGGCAGCTCGAAAAGAAGCGGTGGTTGGCTTCACAGGTCTCGGAGGAAGCCTGTGTTAGCCTTCACCCTCCTAGCGTTGATAGCATCGTGTGATTGGGGGAGTCCTAACTAGCGGGTGGAATTGGACAAGAGAAAATCGGGTAAAAATCAAAAGGTCACTGAGCTCTTCAGTATTACTCATTCCACTGCCAAAGTTTGTCCATGTAGTTTGCATGGCTATATGCTTGATTTTATACAGCTGTCAGCAATGAGTGTGGCTGAAACACCTGAACTCAATTAGGAGGGGTGTCTACATATTTTTGGCCATATAGTGTACATAACAAACCCACACACACAATTTGTTCCTCTAATATTTGTGCTGGCACTTAAAGCTTTAATTAGAGGTTGAGGTAAGAAAAGTGATTCAATGGGTTGAACCTTTTGAAGTAAGCTCATTGTGAGCAGTGAAGTGGTTTTAATACTTGAATATATACTCCCTGGTTAAAATTATTTTGTGGGATAATGATTATGTTTGGCCTTTTGAATATTATATATTCTCTCTGCTGTTGTGTATAGCCCTATGGCACTTTTATCTGGTCATAAATTAATAGCCTGTGAAATTTATAACCCTTATCAGAGCTCTTCCTGCACATTCCACCATTGTTCTTCATTTCCCTCTCTTGCAGTCTCTGTAAGGCACATTTGTATTAACCAATGCAGTACACTTCATAACTGACAGAACACACACAAAAACACAGCTTGGTAAACAAATTTATTTTTTCTTTGTGAACTTTTGACCATGCAGTGACACCACAAGAGATAACATGTACAATGTAGTTTATTTATTATTAATTAGTTTTTTCATGATTTATTAATGGGGAAACAAATAGACCACCTCAAAACAAAGATTTTAATTGTATGCAGATATTTTACAAAAAGAATTTAATGTCATGTAATTCTTTTACAAACAAAGTAACATCATCAAGGTTAGGATCCTTTGTTGCTGCATATGCAGTAGATACAATTATGATAAAAAAATGTGTCCAATTTTCATACACAAAAGAAAAGGACGTGTTGGCAAAGCAGTGATATATATAAAAAAGAGCAATTCAGAATTACTTGCATGAGCACACTCTACACAGATGTAACTTTTAACAGATGTAATGCAGTATAGTGCATACTAAACATACTTGCAGACTTCTTTCAAAAAAACTGTAAGCAATTTCATCATCAATTTGATTTCACATAAATAAGCCATCACAAAAATAAAAATCAGATAAAACACTATTTCTAAAAGCTTTGTATATACCAAAAAATGTTTTCTCAACTCTTAACATTTACACTGTCTGGTCAACATGCGTAATGTAATCTTTTCTTAGGCAGGTGTAATAAAGAATACTAGCCGTACTGAGTAGCATGTGTCCACAATATAGGCAATGAGGTTGATACATGTCATAAAGGACACTACCACTAGGTTGTCCCAGTCACAAGGATCACAGGGCTCTGGTCTTGGATTTCCTTGGAAACTGTAAAGTGGCCATATAACTACTGCTGTCATGTACATAATAACAGCCAGCACATTGTAACCAGTAAGGACTTTGTCAAATGGAAAGGGGCACAGAGCCAGCAGCTTGCAGATGGTGAAGATGATGATAAGGAGAGCAAAGATGAAGCACAATGAGTAAACTGCCACGCACCACTGCAACCCAGGGTATTGACTGTATCTGTTGGTGAGAGAAATGAAGATGATGCAAGCAACAAAGGCTTCCAGAACCTTTAGCAAACCTGGAACTGTGGACAGGAAGCCACTGATCTCGCCTGGTTTCGCCCGAGTTAGTCCAACCTCCACAGCATACACAATAAAACAGAGGCAGGACATGACTGTAGCAGCAATTGGTCGAGAACAAGAAGAGCAAACAAAGAAGACGGGGTAGATGATCGAGGCAGCCAGCATCATGAGTGTAGCCAGCATGGCGAAGGCTGTGGTGAAGTCATCCCAGGAGATGGGCACTTTAACATTGAGGCTGGTGCACTCCAGGATTAGAATAAAAAGGCTCATGAAGCAGCAGAAGCACCAAGTGAACATGCACCAGGCCCAGTGGGAGTTGTTATAGTGGCCCACAGAGGCCACAAGGCTGAAACAGACGCATGACAGCACAATCTCCAATATTCGTACAATGCCTACCGGCATGGTCACAGAACGATTATCCAGCGTAATCATGATGATTGAAATGTCCTCCTCAAATCTTTCCTTCTTATTACTGTTCAGTACTGTACTTGACTTAAATGTCCTGTCCTCTTTTTATTGATTATTTGATTGAATGTTCATTTAGTCCCAAAACATTCCCACAGAGGATAGTCAGTAATTGTTATAGTTAGTGTCTCACCACTTCTTTCCTTACTTTTTCCTTGTTTCTTACTCTTCTCTTGTTTCTTGCTGAGTTGTCTCTCCGTCTCTCTCTCTCTCTCCAGTGTATCTCACTTTGAGTCTTTCCACAGAGATGAATCTCCACAGGAATCCAGGGAAGGGTGTACTGTTGACCACACCCTCTAACTGATACCTTATCAGAAGTTGTTCTGCAAATGGTCATCTGTTTGTAGGAAAGCAGCCAATAAAACGTTCAAATGAGTGCTCTCACTGCCTTTTGGTTATGCATGAAGATATGAACAGGGTGTAGTCCTAAAGGTAATGGTTACATCCTCCAGCTCCAGAGTTGTGCAAATCACTTGTTTTATAGTCAGTGATGACAAAGAGTCAAACAAATGAAGGCACATTTTTCTCTTTTCCACTGTTATGGGTGTGATTTAAAGAGAGTAACAAAAAACTTTAAGGGACAGTTTCCCAGACACATTTTAAAGCTAGTCCGGCATTAAATGATACTTTTAATAGTGATTCTCCTTCGGAAACTATGCTTAATTTGCGTTTCAGCTTAGTTTATTAACTAGTTAAACTTCCATCAGTTAACAGACTGATAATATTTCCTTAGACATGAAGAAGCAGTAATTTGTTCACACCCACTTGCATTTGCCAAAGACTGAAAATGTTCTCTATTCCTTTGCACACTCCAGACTATTCTTCATTAAATGATGAAGTACAAAATTCCCACCACTTTCTTAACAATGAATAATTTTGCATCAAACCACTCTGATTACATTACATTGTTTACATGACTTTGGTGGTAATAGGCACCAGGGGTCACAATGCCACATTCTGCACGTGTTACAACTGCATGGATAGTAAATAAAATGCAAATGTAGCCATTTTTTTACTATCCAAAATGACCAATGAATCTAAATGTGTCTTTTGTGTTATTATATGTATTGATGGTAATGGTGCAATAGTAGTAAATTAAAAAAAATCTTTGGGTACTGTTTTGTTTTACTACTCTTTATATATCTCTGTGCCAGTAATATATTTTTAAAAATACATTTAAGGCAAAATCTGCAATAAAACAACATGTCAGGTATCAAGTAGTGTATTTGTAACCATTTCATATAATAGCTTTCTGTAGGTCAAAGGTAGCTTTGAGAGGCATCAGACATCTAGTTCCTCTTTAAGAGCTCTATGGTAATTTATTTATACATTTTGTTGAACATAACTTTGGCTTCATTTCAAAAATGACTTTAACACCTCATTTTTATAGTGAAGGTGTGGCTCAGTCCCTTATTATTATGAGTAAGTCTGAGTAAGTCACTTTATCAGCTTCATAATGGTAGGAGTCCATGGGTGTTTGCATTTTGTGTTTGCACTTTGAATGCTTTATGCTCAAGTACAGTCAGTTTGGTTTCACATCCTTTGTTTGCAAAAGTACACCAAATAAAAATGAAATTAAAGTAGTGGATATGAGATCCCTAGGCAAAACCACTTTCTGGAGTATTTTCCCCACTCCATTGTCTTCAAAATAGCTTCATTATACAAAATAAAATATAATACTGCAAACTGTCTTTTACAGACATTTAAGTGGACAGCAGAAAGAAGAGATATTTAATATTTTACCTTATCAACTCTATTGATTTTTGTAAATATATAATGATTCCCAATTTGATGTCTGCAACACAATCCAAAAATATGGGACAATGTAAGACTGGGAAATTTGTGAAATAATCAAAAACTCAAAGCTGTTTTGGAAATTTTCACAGGAAAGAGGTGAATGGGTAACAGGTGATGCAATTCACAAAAGGCACTGACAAAAGACTAAAATGCCATTTTGGGAAAAAATGTGAACAGTCTAACAGTTTAAGAACAACTTTTTTCAATGCATGGTTGCAAGGAATTTGTAGATTTCATCATCTACAGTCCATAACATTAGTAAAAGATTCTGATAATCCAGAGAAATCTCTGTGTGTAAAGGCCAAAAATCAACATCCAGAAATCCTGCTGACTTCTCTGAGCTAAAGTTCAACTGAGATGGACTGACACAAAGTGTAAACGTGTACTGTGGTCTGACGAGTCTACCTTTTAAATTGTTTTTGGAAGTAATGGACATTGTGTGCAGGTGCAAGACTAGCCTGTCTGCAGTCCAGACCTGTCTTTTAAAACATGTGGCGCATTATGAAGTGCAATATACCACAATGGAGATCCCAGACTTTTGAGAAGATGAAGTGTTATGTCAAGTAAAAATGGGAAAAAATCCACTTTCACAGCTACAACAATTGGTGTCAACAGTTTCACAACAATTCATGAATGTTGTTAAAAGAAAGGTGATGTAACACAATGGCTAACATGCCCCTGTCCCGATTTTTCTTGAACATGTTCCAGGCATCAAATTTAGAATAAGTGTATATGAACAAAAAACAATAAAGTTATTCAATTGAATTAAATCAAACATTAAACATCTTGTCTTTGTACTGTTTTAATTTAAAAAAGAATGTGCAAACCATTGCTGTTTGTTTTTAATTACAATTTTTGTACTGTCTCATTGTTTTTTTGTTTTTTTTTTTTAATTAGGTTTGGCACTTTGAGAGTCATACAGTAGGAACACTCTATTCATTCTTTTAGATTCTTATTATCAAAGGGGACCCTAAGGGCTTTCAGATTTTTTCTTCATGGTGTCTATTTATGTACAGTCATGCTAGCTTTAACATCGGTTAGGGCCAGAGCTGTTTCAGACATTTGGTGGCCCTAAATGGCAACCTTACCCCAATTGTTAAAGTCAGTATATGAGAATGGAAAACAAATACTAAATTCATTTTATATGGCAACAATGCATAAAAAACCACTACACAGACTATGCATGGGACCCTCTGGTATTGTTTATTGAAACGGCCCTAGTTAGGACTTTAGGAGCTGAACAAAAGGCCTTACACACCCAATTAATTATCATCATAATTAAGAAGTGAAATAAAATCACATTCTGATTTCCAATAGTAGGCACTAATTTCGTGACAAAAATCATCACTGATCTTCTGGTAGGCTGAGATACATCACAGACTGCAAATAAGAGCAGTATCAAAAACATTAGGTTTTGATCTGTTTTTAGAAAATATAAAAAGCAGTGGCCATTCTAGTGAAACTTCTTCACACATGAAATGTGTTAATATATATCATGCTTAAAATAAAATATATGGAATGTTTGTACGAGTTTAAAATGGCTGCGTTTAAGCTAGAGTTGCCAAAAAAAATCCTACTAGGTACTAGCCAAAATTTGCATTATGCCAGCACTGTGACCTTCCAATTGTTTGGACATTTATTGCACCAGTGTATATTATATCTCTCTATCTCCCCTGTTGCCTTTATGTTACTCCATGTCATAGACCACATTCATCACATTTAATAGGCAGCTGTGAGTAACTCAAAAGACTGACTAACCTCTACACTTCTCCAAAAACAGGGGTGTCCAACACTGCCCTGAAAGGTCACATCACTTAACTCTATAGATTCTTTACCCTTCTATTATACTCTGTTTATTTCATAAAGACTTGGGTTAGATGATGAACTGAACCATGTATGTTAGAGCAGTACAACAGTAAACTGTCCACAGGAGGAACTCTGGGCAACTGTATCAAATTTCATGAAGCATTAATGCAGCTAAAACACTCTAAATCAGTAGTTCCCAACCCTGGAACTACTGCTGTAAATAATGTTGGTTCAAGATATGTTGCTTAAATTGGTGACAAGTTTGCATGAGGTAGCTGTATATGGGCATGTTTGTGAGGAAGTGATGTAGATTGGAATGGACTTTGCTCTTTCACTTATCTAAACAAAACACACACAATACACCTTTGGCCATATCTGCTTCAATAGGAGAGTTATCTCATGTTCACTCTGAAATTCTCATATTTTTATTCCCTGGCATTGTTAAATATTCTGTTGGTATAAGTCAGCGTGTGTATTTATTTTTCCAATAGTAACGATTGTTTCACATCAGGCCATTTTGTGTAATGAGATTCTCATATGCTGTCTTCACAGTTTTTTTTTTTTACATTGTAGATCTGTTGGACCTTAAATTAATCATTACAAATTGAATTTAATCAGCTGGCTAAATATGAACAGTAACAGACTGTACTGATATATCCACTAAATTCTAGCTCTGTTAGATCAATAGGCCTGGATGTTTAGCTAGATCCAACATACCAAGTTTAGGCCATGAATGGGCAGATAATTAGATAATGAGTAACAAGAGGGGAGCAATAATTGATTATTACATTCCAAATATTTAGATTCTCTGCAAACAAAGAATAATAGTTCAATATAACTTCCACAACCCAAGAAATTCACATATTTATTTCCACTGAAATGGTCTTTACCCGGTAATACCCTAACACACCAAAGGTGCATACCTATCTGTGAGCATGCAAGGTGGGATGCACATGGGATGCAAAGTTATAAGAAAGCAAAAGTGAAGGGAGGCACCTGCCTTTATTCAGAAAGAGACATCTGACATTACAGTGGTCATAGGAAATTCAAACTTAAAATATCCAGATGATACACTGACAGACATTCAAATGTGATGCGATGCAGTCAGCATTTTTGTCTGGAGTTTACTGGACATCTGCCTAGACGTGAACTAAAAGAAACTGAACGCTGAATTCAGCATTATTTAGATAATCATCTATCCATCTATGCTGGAGCTGAAATGGATGTTACCGAAACAGTCTGCATTACATGGATCACTTAAGTTTTTTTATGTAAGTGGTGGATAACCAATTGTTTAACCCTATCAGAAGAAAGAGAAATAAAAAGAGATCTGAAAAAGAGATGGAAAGAAAAATGAGAGTTTTGCTTTAGTCTCCTGTTGTTCAGATATTTCTCCTGATCAAAATAAAATACAGTTACGTAGTTTTTGTGTCACGTCTTATTCTGTACATTTAATGGTTAGAAACTTGATTATTGCACTGTAGACTCAGAGTGCCCTGTTATCTGATTATCTATCATCTGTTATCTATGTGTTTTGTGTGCTTTTATGTCCTGCAATGTGTATGCTGATGCACTGTTTTATAGATATAGGTAATTATAGATGTCTAGATCTGTTATTGTGGGCAATAACACATAATTGGGACTCAAAGATAACTCATCCGTTGGTATAAATCAGACAGGTTGCTCTTAATATTGAGATTTGGAAGCCATAACCAG